GGGGTTCGTGGATGCTCTGGTGTGGTTTGCTTCTTCTTTCCTATCAAACGTCTATCGTCCTAATCTCTCCTGCCTCTTTTTTGGTGTTTGTTACCCTCTTGTAACACCTCTAATCTTCAGCACTTATATGACCTTATTGTGCTGCAAGTGCCGTAAAACTTTTACGAAAAAAACCCAGAACAATAAGGACAAGACCAACATCAGCAACAATAGCAACAGTTTCACGCCACTCCCTCATTCACTTCCTTCACCGGACGTCTTTATTCTGAACTTACTTGATCTATATCTACTGCACACAAAATAAATGGTCGATTTTAAGGACTAGCGGGCAAACCCACATTTCGGTGGTTTCCAGAAATTTTGACCTATACCAAAAGTGGGCATTGCCCTGCCTATAGGAGAAGTTGGTTTCATTGGTGTGTATATTTGTTTGGTTATAGAGAAAACTCTCCTTGTTTTCTAAAGAAACTGAGGACGAGTCTAAAAACTTTACCTTCTATTTTCTGAGAACTGCATTTTTCGGGATAGCCCCCGTGTGCTTAAAAGCGACCAGCTAAAACTAAAACTAATTTTTAAAAAAAAAATAGTATAGGGTTTTTACGGCGCTCGCAACTGCATAAGGTCACATGAGCTCCAAGGGATGGGTGTCAACAGAGAAGTCTTTACAGGGAATCAGACTTATTCTGCTCACCTCTCTAGCTTCAACAGCTTCGACTATCCAGGCACCCCGGAAATAGCGGGTCACAAGCGACTGACAAACGTACAAAAGAAGTAGAGGAAAAATGACAATAGTAAGGATTTGGAAAAAAAAAGCAGAAGTTCCCTGTTGTAGATCAGGCAGAGTTATGAGCGTGACATGATGAATCAGCCCATTTACGATTTTACTGTTCTTGAACGAGAAATGTCCCTCCTTTGGGAATGGCCTAAAGACTCTACAGTCAGTGGCACTACCCCGGGGGTAAGATTAGATGTGTTACAAGAGAGTAACAAGCACAAAAAAGGAGGGGAGAAAAAGACGATTGATGTTTGATAGGAAAGAAGAAGCAAACCACACAAGAGCACCCGCCAACAACACACAACCTAAAATTTTCTTTTCCTCCCCCCCCCCCCCACCGTCTCCCCAGGTGGGCGTGGCTATAGGTTTTGTCCTGCCGCCCATGTTGGTGCCTAACTCAGACGCCATGGAAGATCTGAGCAGGGACTTCTACATCATGTTTTACACCACTGCCGGGGTTACTACGGTCCTCTTCTTCCTCATCATCATTTGTGAGTACTACACCCCATCCGTGTTATTGTTGGTGGTGGTGGTGGTGGTTTTGCTGTTGTTGTTGTTGTTGGGGGTGGTGGTTGTTGTTGTTGTTGTTGTTGTTGTTGTTGTTGCTGCTGTTGTTGTTGTTGTTGTTGTTGGTGGTGGTGGTGGTGATGGTGGTGGTGGTG